ATTTAAATGAAAATGAAACAAAAACATTCATTCTAATATAAAAATTCTCAAAAAGTGAGAAAGAAACTCAAAAACTGCATCTTTCTTTGATAACAATCAAGATATCCCAGAATGACGAAAATAAGGTGAATTGTACATTTACAGACCTACAAAAATGTTTCACCATCAAACAAGAGTGTCTTTTGCCTAGTGCTTTTAAACTAGCCAGGCAGTCGTAATAGAACTTCCAAGTCAAACACATGGTACATTAGAAACGAAATATTATCAACGGCAATACGTTATATAGTTATCAGAAGTATAAATGTGCTCAATCAAAAATTCCCGGCCACACTCGTATGTACCGATCTAGATCGTGCCAGATTTATTACACAACCGGGGCAAATATGCAATAACGGAGACGTTAAAATCAACCAGCAGACTCGTAATTGAGCACATGCGAGCTTATAATGATTAGATAATCGAATTGGAGAATATATATTCGTGTGAATTAAGATTTATCTATAGGGTAATGAATGGGAAAGTTTTAAAACTGACGTGCACAGAAACTACGTGTGAAATAAAGCAAAATACGTACTTATAACTTTTAAAACAATTAGTAATCATCGTTCGCACATTCCTGAGACGACCGTATAGCAATGAAATGCACGAAACTAATAGGAACTAATTGCCTTTATGCAAATTGCAAACGTACTGTTTTCGAATCCGAACTATCTCATACGGGCTGCATCATGACTTAGATATGAATTTAACAGATGGTTGAAACTACAGGGTGTCTGGTGTAAATGTGTACACATTGTAACATCATATGATGATTAAAAATTGAAAATCAAAATTAGTATATTTCAAGTTGTATGCTAAATTTTAATCAAAAAAGGTTTCTATTTAGTTTGCGAAGATATCGGCAATTTTTAAGTTGTTTATCAATATTTCCAACATAAATACATGGTGTCCCAAAAGTAACACATGATTTGAATTGTATGCCATTTTCATTCCGAAAAGCTGGCAGCACTGTGCAGAGTTACACATTGTAGTAATGACGTTGCGGTTAGACAAAATGGAGCTCTATACAACAGATGAACGGGTGAAGATTCGTTACATGTACGGAGAGTGTGTAGGTGAGACTGTGCGCAAATTATGTGGAATTTTCAGTAGAAGGAACGCCTCGAATGAAGAAACATACCGGAAATTCACGTAACCACAATGCGCTGTCTGTCACTGCAATTAAACATTTCAAAAAGCACAATGCGCGGATTTTAACAAAAGCATGAAGATGCAGATGTCATATCATATACTAGACACCCTGTACATGATACACTCCTAACAATATTAACGAGTTATTTTATCGATTGGTCTGAGTTTATGGTCCAACGTTCCACCGTATTAGGAGCGAGATTTCGTACGCTCGATGATGAGTAATAGAATCGTATGCGCTGCCGTTACGTAAAAAAAAATCAAGTAATGTTGACGAGGGGAACTCCTTTGGAATGTCGTTTTATAATGGGACAATGTCGATAACGCTTAGTAATAAAGTTCCCAAGTGAATAACGCCTGATTCAAAACGGGTTCATTACTGAGAAAACAACAATTCAAATAGTCGATTTTCATTTTATAAATTCTTCTGAATTCAAAATTTTTTAGTTTGTAATAATTTCATCAATTTATTCGAAAATGTAGAGAGAAAACGCCTTTTCCCTACATGACAAACAGACAACCTTAAGGTCAGTCGAACAGACGATTTCGTCAGTGGTTCTCAAAATGTGAGAATACATAATAATATATTGAGGGTTTTTCTTAAAGTAGGTCTCAAAAGAACTTAATGCTGGTGTATTATAATAGATATATTATGATGCCGTATTTTGGTATCATAAGATTGTATTAACTTTTGAAATTTTATTCTAACTAAACTGTTTATTATAAATGCTGTTATTGCAGTTCGATAAATTAATGATAAATGCTGACATTGAATTAGTTGGTTCATTTTCTTGTTGTACTTGAACATATATACGGTGATTAAGTCATAATATAATTAATTTTAACCACGCCTAATAAAGACAGAAAATCGAAAAAAAAATTTACTCGACCTATTACAAAATAAGCAAATTTACCCTTAACTCCCCTTAATTTGGTGCCCTACTTCGCAACACATTCTATGACATACATATGACATACCGGCGGCGGTTCAGAGCGTTCGAACGTTGAAGCGAAACAGCTGATTTCCCCCAGGTGTGTTGAATTTTGGTTTCAAAATCAAAGTGTAGCGAATTGTAATTTTATTAACAAAGTGCTATGGACGAATGAGTATTTTTCTAGCATTTTAAATAGGTAGGTACCATACTCTTTGAAAAGCAATAAGTGACTAAGTATATGTACTACAAACTGAATAATTAATTGAACATAGGTAATACTAAAAACTCATATTCAATTATAAAACAGTGAAGACGTTGACAATATTAAAAATACTAAATTATAATAATTCGAATACAATTATTATTATAGTTATAGGTACATATGTTTTCTTTAACAAATAAATACCTGTTAATATTTAAAATGAAAAAAAAAATATCTTATTCATTCATGTGTCTAGGTAAAAAGATTAACAATTTTAGAATACAAATATTTCTCTATAAATCCACTGAAATTATGGCTAGCTATCTTCGTTTCGTTTGGAAACCGCTGACACAGCTTGAATTCCAAATATTAACCTAAAAATTTCGACCTTGCACGTCATCCCATTTCCATTCCCGAAGTGCTATAGTACTACGCGCTCCCATTTTATCTCAAAGTGGGTGAACATTTGAATGGTTAGCGATAATTTAAAATAATGAAAAACAGAATCATCGCAGAGGGCGTAAGATGACTTCAATCCTTAGTCATTGTTTTTCCAATCCGTCGCCTACTACACAATAGGCATTTAATTTAAGTAGTTAATAACTATTAGATAATGGGAAACATGTGGCTCGCGCTTGATTTAGGCGTCTGTGTATAATAAATGTTTTGACTACAGTGGGAGTTGCTTTAAAAATTGGGTTAGTAAGGTAACATATAATGCCCACGTTCCAAAGTAAATATCATATTTTTAAAAATGCAAAAATGGCTAAAAATATTTTTAATTTCATATTCATTTGGTATATAAAAATTCATAAGTAACTCGATTTGCTTTCCGTGTTCAATCAAAATGAAAAAAAAACTGCCATAAATAATATAATGTATTACCCAATAACTATTATTTTTAGAACAACACACTGTGTGGTTATTTACGTCTAAGTTCCTATATAATTAATGATTGTGTACATTAATCAAGTACATAAAAAAGTGAATAATTTGCTGTTAAAATAAACCACATTTTGAATACGTTCGAATCTGCTATTAATACATACACATTGTATCATTACTTTGCCGGTATGTTTAATGAAATTGATGGTTTCCAAATGGATATAAAGAAGTCAAAGATTTTTTTTAGTAAGAGGCTACGTTAACATTAATTATTCTGATTTATGCGTTTATTTTCATATCTACATCGTTCATTTTCCTTGTTCGCACTTAGGAAATTTACCCGAAAATCTTATGTTATTAAAGAATGCTACCTTTGTTTCGTAGTTTAAATAAAATAGGACTTCTCTAAAACTACTCATATCAAGTAAATTGCATGGATATTGGATGTTTTTTTAATGACACTCGCCATATAATTTTTACATGGATTACCTGGTTGACGTCAAAAATATCCTGAGGTAAAAGGAGATGGTCCAGTTGATGAGAGTAATTGTATCGTTGTCACTTTTTCAGCTATAGGATTTTTTTATTAGAATACTACGTGTTTGAATGGAATGCTCTCTTACTATTACAATGGTATAAGAATAAGTGGATCTAGCACTAGAAGGAAGTTATGACCTAATGTAGTGCGAGAAGACTTTCCAGACAATTAAATCTTTATTTTTTTAGGACTGTTATTCCGTGGCCTACGTATCTGGTCACCGCCATTTACAGACTTACATTGTACTTCCTTAGCCAGTATTTAGTCGAGGAAATAAAGCACTAAAAACGGCCTAACCTCTGAATTCTGTGTAGTAAGATGGATTGTGATGCGGTTTTTTGCATTCGATTCGTTAGACCGTCCAGAAAGTTTGTGACCCTATGTGATCAATGAGAAATGAAAATTGCATCGGTGCATAAGAAAAATGCATTTTTATAATTGAATTGAAATATTGACGAAAATGAGTTCAATTTTACTACTCGGGGGTTCTTGGGGCCGCTGAACACGAATATTACGACGGCAACGGTCTCCGAGGTACCTAGTGCCCAGGGTGGCCGGTTTCCACGTCGTCTCCTGGAGTTTTGTGGAAATTCGTTATAAACTTAGCCGAAACTCGTTATCTCGGGGTTTTTGAGACCATGGGACGTGTCTTCATTTACCCCTCGAAAGTGTTCGTATTTACCCCAAAGCATTTAATTTTTGGGGTAAATGTGGACACCTGTTTTAAACAAAACAAACCTGTTTTTAAAAAACAAACTATAAACTGCAATAGAATGTAATATATCTCTGGATTTATGGCACAGAATGGGTCACTTGCTGTATTAAATAAACACAGTTATGATATTTACCCAAAAAAACCCAGGTAACGAGTTTCGGCTAAGTTTATAACGAATTTCCACAAAACTCCAGGAGACGACGTGAAAACCGGCCACCCTGGGGCACTAGGTACCTCGGAGGCCGTTGCCGTCGTGATATTCGTGTTCAGCGACCCCAAAAACCCCCGAGTAGCAAAATTGAACTCATTTCCGTCAATATTTTTCGAGTTATAAATTTTTCATATTTTAACTCTTCCAGATGCAATTTTAAAAATGCATTTTTCTTATGCACCGATGCAATTTTCATTTCTCATTGATCACATAGGGTCACAAACTTTCTGGACGCTCTAACGAATCGAATGCAAAAAACCGCATCACGATCCATCTTACTGCACAGATTTCAGAGGTTCAGTGCTTTATTTCCTTGACTAATTTCACTGCAAACATTTGGAAGCACCGGATACCATTACGAAACGTCTCAGAGGAATATTATAGTCTGAGGTGATCATCGGGGTGGGCTTAAGCGGTCTGATAGCGTATTCGATCCCACAGAGCCTAACCCGAGAACAATACGGGCATGTCAGATTTCTAGCTAAGAAGAAGAAAGATAAGAAAATTGTAAATGCATGTCCTTTTACTTCTGGATGTCAAACTCGTAAGAGAGTTACACGAATGTAAGACATAAAAATAGTGTTTATTTTGATTTTCTACCCCTTCCCTCTTACAAGTATTCTTATTTGTTATTATATCAGAAAACGAAAAGTAAAAAGTTATTTTAGTAAATGGCATTACCTAAATTCCAAATTGGAATCATTTACTGGAAAGAATGCAGCAAAGTAATTTGAAAAGAAAGTATGATGAAAACCAATAGATTCCACTTCAATCACCATTCCTTTAACTCTCGACGAGAAGTGCCCATTACTTTTAACCGTCAAAGGATACTTTAGTGGAAATTGGAAATAATGCGCGAAAATGCTTGAAGCTCGTTCGTTGTTTTGTTGGAAATCGGCTAGTAGCCTATTGAAAGCAATTCAGTGAAAATATTTTAGTCTTTCGATGAAAAATAAAACTAGAAATTATGATTAATAAATTATTTCGTGGAGGCAAGGTAAAACATAGCAATGAAGTTCCCCACTGGTTCAATATAGGACTACCGCTTTTTATCTTTATACTAATAGAGCTAATCTTGATCTCACTTTCGGATTTAGATGGGGAACCATCCAGGGATTTAGTCGATATTTGTATAGAAAGGCATATCTTCCCCAGGGTTTGCTCCTCTCCTGGAGTCTGTGCTGTGCAGAACTAGGATGACGTAAAACAAATAGATTTAAAAAAATCTATTTTTATTAGTATAATTTACAGATTAGTTTATAATTATTATTAAATTTTCTGTTCCATAGGTTTCTGCAACCAAGACAGGTGACTTCAAATTTTATTATATAGTTTAATAGAGAACTACAATAAAATGATTGAAAAACAGTTATAGCCTAGGCGGTATCTGTTCTGGTTTGGGTGAATCGTATATCCACGGAAATTTTTGGCTTTTGTCTTTCAAATATCACTAGAAATGAACATTTTACTGTGCGTATAAAAAAAACGTGGGCTTAACTTTTGGCGGCACAATATGTTAAAAAAATTCGAAAATCTCATATTTTTCTTCCTATTTAATTATGTATCTTTTCAAGAGTTGATTTTAGGCGAAAATGGAAGAGGAAAAAAATGTTTTAATTAAATTTTACAAAATATGACTAGTTACAAATCGAATGAATCTGATTATTACAGTAAAAATCGAAATAATCGCAAAAATGGGGTTAAAAAACAATACTTTTTAGGGAATTTTTTTGGGGTATTTAAATTGGGTATAGGACCTTTATACTTGGCTCAAAAAAACTTCATGTTATGTAGAATCATCACACCAAATTTCATCAAAATCGGTTGTATAGATTTTGCATAATAATTTTGCAATCCAGATTTTGAAAAAAAATTTTCATTTTTTCAAATTTTTGCCAGCAAAAACCAAGGCCATTAGATACTTGAAAATTTAACCACATATGTATAGAAGAGCTCTCAAGCTTTCAAACTTTTTTTTAAAAATTCGAATCCGTCAATTAGGAGAGCTCTGGCGCTTGATTAAACATTGGTCGAATTTTTGTACTTATTAAGCAGAGAGCGCGGCCGCTTTGGCCTGCTCGAAATTGAATCGGCGAGTTCAAAACCGCGACGCGCTTAAAATTTTTTAATATCTTAGCTTCTAGAGGTCCGATTTTGATGATTTTTTTTAAATCGATGTCTCGCGATTTTTTCGATTTTTACAATAATAATCATGATTCATTCGATTTGTAACTAGTGATATTTTGTAAAATTTAATTACAAACATTTTTTTCCACTTCTATTTTCGCATAAAATCAACTCTTGAAAAGATACATAATTAAATATGAAGAAAAATATGACATTTTTCGATTTTTTTTAACATATTATGCCGCCAAAAGTTAAGCCCACGTTTTTTTTATGCGCATAGAAAAATTTTCATTTCTAGTTATATTTTAATGCCAAAAAGCCAAAAATCTCCCTGGATATACGATTCACCCAAATATGGGCTCTTTGAAACAGATACCGTCTGGACTATTACTATTTGAAAATTCATGAGTAGTTCTTTTAGGCGTATCATGAAGTAGCAGGTACTTTGCTTGTCTATTTTTTTTATGCGCCATCTTTTTCACCTGTCAATTTAAATTACATATTATTACAATAATTTTTAAATTCAACCCAATCATTATCAGATTTTCGGGATTGGCAGGCACCTTGGCATTTCACACTTAGCATTTTATTTTTCGATAAATCGAACTTTTAACACCCGTAATCCCATCCTGATCATAAAGCCGATATGCCTCCAAAGCCCATTCGCCCAAACACGACACATATCAGCGATCCTACCGACAAAATAACATCGGTATTCTCGAACAAAAAAAAGTGTTAATAGCCCAATTAGCCAACATTGTACAAGATGAAATTGCGAACTGCCGGAAGACGTCATTACCGGAGGATAATTGCAAGTTAAGTAAAAAAAGTGGGACCGCATGCACAACACTTACCTCATCGCAACCGGCGCACCTTGGCTTCATTTTTTCTGCGTAGTGCCTTTCGCAATAAATGCTATCCTCGTAGACGCAGTAGGCAAGGTCCACGAGAAGATCATCACAGGTTTTGCACTGAAAACAAAGAGAATATGGTACCTAATGATTTTTTTTTCGGATACAGTGGCGTTATAAACGAAATTAACACTTCAGTTCACTTCTTAAGTAACAGATTAATTTTTTCAGGGCGTTATAATATTGTATAGGGTGTAAAAAATTGAATGGTGAAAACCGTTTCTCTATGTCATTATTCGTATAAGAGATAAGTGTTTTTCACTTTTGGATGTACAATTTTTCGCTTGTAAAATTGTTTATACCTAAAAGAAATTTTTTTAAAGTGTCTAAAGATTAGAAAAGGGTATATATAAATAGCAAAAAAGTTATTTGTAACTGTTTTAAAATATACTTCAATTTGGTATTATTTTTCCCACCCTATGTTGGGTACATCCATGATACTGTCGCGGATTTACGTAGGTTGGTTGTTGGTCTTCTATCACAGCCTCACGAACGAGAAAATAGAAACTTCAGTGAAAAATTTCGAAACATCGGTGAAATGTTTGCGAATTCTTTTTATATATTCGGAATTGCTCTATGTGGTCGATATTCCTATTCGGCGGCAGGAACTTGGCCATATGAGCTTTTATATTAGAAAAATTGTAGCTATTCAAAACATGGGCGAATTTTGAATCAACCGACTGAAATTATGTATTAATTTATGTATTGTATTTATTACAATTGGACTGAATTGGCACTTATTGGAATTTATTAGTTTCATATGGAGTTCACACCCTGTATAACAAATTCACTGAAATAAATATAAAAATAAGTATTTTCAAAGAGAGGTAGTATTATGAAATGATATTTTATCGTATGCTTGTCTATTTGAAAACATAAAATGGTATAAACAAATAACAAATTATCTATTTATTTAACTAGAAACATTGTTTAGAAGCGAACATACTTTCATGTGCACTAGGTTTCAAGATTTTTAGGATCAAAAAACGTTATGCCAGTGTTGTTAGTAACAGCGATAAGATCTAGATCTACCAAACCATGCTTACTAAACTGGAACTAAAATATTTTTTTTATTTCCGGAGAAAATAGCAACAAGAGTTTTTTGTAGGACACAGGACATTTGAAAAATAATTTCGGTTATAACTGGAAAACCGGAAGATGTAGAAAAATATATCAAACGAAAAAAACCATTTAATAAGAATTAAATAATCAAAAGTTAATCCACATCGCAAAAAAAAACAAACGAAAAGAACACTCTGTATTTCTTAACCGAATGAAGATAACGAACGAAATGCAGTTGAATCTGTGACATTTTACAATTTTTTTTCAATTTCTTCGAGGAATATGAGACCCCTCAAAAACATGGAATTTTACGCACCCTATACAGGTGGTTCTTTGATAATAAATTTGCTAAAGTGTTTCGATTGCTTGATAAGAGCGACGTTTTATTTTGAAGTGGTTTTAGTTATTTTCATTTGTTGTACATTTTTCCTGGTATGGTATACATATTTCTACTCACTGGTTGCTTAGGTCAGCAGACTTCAAAGCTTTACTTAAGTTAAAGCTAACAAACAGACTACATACAAAATGTGACAATGCTTTATGTGACATTTTGATTAATCCTATCATAGTTAACGAAATTTGCAAAAAAATGTAAATTCAAGATTTAGTTGCACCACAATAAAAAAATTGGGAGAGATTAGAAAATAATTCATGGTTCTAAAAGAAGTATCATCCTGTAAATTATTTCTAATTCATACATTCCATACCTTGAAAAAGTGAACTTGAACAGAATGAACTTGAACAGATTATTTAAAAAAATCTCTAAAACTTTAGCACCCAATACCTCAAAAAAAAAAATTAAGCAATTTTTTCCTATTTTTAGTCAGAGAAACACCTGTAGAATTTTATCAATAGACTATTGCAAGATCATGCCATAGCAAAAGATACAAAAATATACATTGTGTTGCAATCGAAAAATGTTACTTATTTAGTTTTTTGGGAATGTTCCATTTTTTCAAACAAAATGTTGAAATATGTGGATTCTGTTTTGATTTTTGTCAAAAAAGATTCATTCATACATTATTTTTCAGAAACAAGCTCATGAAATATTAAAAAGCAGAAAGGTGACCATTTTTTGTTGTAAATTCGATCCAAACTAAAATCCAATACAGACAGATTTTGTCACGTCTGCTAAAAATATTCTAAATAAAGAACAAATGTTAAGCTTTATGCAACCAGTTATACTTTCACCTCAAAGATCGTGTTAATTTTCAGCACATTTGCCGCAGATCTGTCTTGGCTTAAAACCCTTATCAATTACATAAATAATTTAATATATTACCTGTTGTTTAATATAACTCACTAAAAACATTTATTAATTCTACACCTTGTCCACATATAGTGTGTTAATGATAAGTTTTGTCAAACTTTACTAATGAAAATAATTTTTGGGGTTTGTCATTTATCGTTACAGGGTGCTAAAAATCATATTTTTTTTTTGTAACAAAATGTGTGTGTTGTATTTCTGGAAAGTAACAGATAATGTTAAAGGTAGTCTTCTCTTTTTCAAGTGTTCTGCTTATTTATAACATTTTTCTAACAAGCTTAAAAACTTGTATCAAGACTGCTTCTGTTGATCAAGATTTCTGAAAAAAAAAGATAGTGGCAGATTTTGTCTCCTAAAATGGTTCCCTACCCACCTAGTAAATAGGTTTCTAGAGTATATTTTAAAATCATTAATTCATGGGAAAATAGTTCATATTAAAAAAAAAACATCAAAATTAAACAAATATAAATATAAAAGTTTTAGTACCCTATAACTTGCTATGGAATTGTAGAATAAAAAATTTTGCAATGCCAAATCCCAATTATCTTCACCAGTAGAATATGTCAGTGCCAAGCACATCATTAATACCTTGTATACTTCAAAAATAGTTAGTTGTATTTGAAATTAGTAATATGTATCAAAAAAAAATTAAAAAATCATCTATTCTGAGAAAAAATTGTTGTATTTTATGGAAATGTTTTTTTATTAATTATTTTATCCACAATCACCTTATAATCGGACTTTTATCCACACATATGAACCGTCTAATGTGATACTTTATCCACTAGTGGAATAAAGTAGCTTTATTTCACTAGTAGGATAATGAAAAAATAATAAACCTATAATAAATCAAATTAAATTTATTTACTTCTTAACATTTACATTTATAGTAATAGACATTTCGTTTTTTGTTTTATCACATCTAACCTCCTTTCCGTTAATAATAACCCTTGTAGCATTGTTGCTATCATTTTCGGAACGTGAAGTTTGAGAAAAATTTATCTCTTCTTGTAAGGAACAGCTATATTTTCCTTGGATTTTCCTTACAATATCAAATTTGTTAGATATAGACAGGAGCTCTTCAATCCACCATGTCATTTGATGGTTGTAAGATCAGCACCTTTATTGGCCAATAAAGTTGTTGAAGTGCACCTCATACAATGGACAGTATATGCTTCTAGATTTGCGATATTCAGGAATAAAACAACTATTGAGGGTACCTTCGCCAATATGTTGATACCAACAGGCTGAGAAGTACATTTATTGATTGATGTATCTTAGAAAGAATGTGTGTTGTGTTAGGCGAATTGGGCGCAGAGAAATATATTTTCAGCATTTTTCAAGAATTATATTTTCAGCATTTTTCAACAGCATTCACGCAAAATCGTTCTTCTATAATTGTACTTTTCCTTGAAATGTCCGTCTTGGTGTTAGGCATTGAAATAACAAGGTAACTGTCAACGTCTTGTACATCTTTAATTTTAAAATTTGTCAATTCGAGCATCGACACGCACCAGAAAACCCCATTATTAGTGCAACTTAAAATAATTCGAAGTTCACTGTATATGGAAAAGGTAAAGAGATATTACCTTAATCATTAAATATTCTTTATCCGAAGCTCCAGTAAAAAATTCTTCAATATGTGCTCTTTCCAATACTGCAGCTTTTTTTGACATATTTTCCAATATCTATATTTTTGTAGATCTTTATAGTAGCCTTCAACATCGAATACTTCGACCACATAGATGAAATTGCATATTTCTTCTTCAAATTTAAAAAATACGATAATAGCATGACTTTTTCATTTATTGTCATTCGTCTCCGTTTATTCTCTCCATTCGTTAAATTCGGCAAACATTTTTTCGTAATGTTTCCTGGATTTCGCTAGCAATAAATGGAAAATTGCTTCTTGAGCGTCTTCAAAAACAGCCACAGCAACACAATTACTTTCTTGCATTTTTACCAAATTCAGATATATAGAAGTGTTTATTAAATAATTGACAATAAACAACGTTCAATAGCAACCAGTAGGTATAACAAAACCTACCACGTTTTATTGAGTACTAGCAAGAAATATCAAGTCGTGCGAATATTTTTTTATTAAATTCCAATAATTCTGACTCCACAAATATGATTGTGATGTGATTGTAGATAAAACGTTGTATTGCATTCGTGTTTTAATTAATTGTCTTCTATCCACTTAAGAATATTAAACGCTCGAACTACGGTCTCGCGTTTAAACATTCTTGCGTGGATAAAATACTACTTAAAACTCTCATACAATAAATAACTATTAACGTGCTATTTTTTCAGGTTTCAGTTTTAAATTAAAAATACTATTTGCATTATTCCAATGTTATGGAAAACATAAATAATCCCTCTCTCTCTCTAGAACAAATTTAATGCTTGTTGAAATAACATTGAAGTTTTATGAAATCGAATTGAACGGTTATGAATTTTAATTCATTTTCTGAAAAATAAATAATTTCCCTTTTGATATTAAATTTACTAAGATTCCATATCCAGACTATAGTAAAATAAGAGGACCTCTCTATACACTTTCAATATTTTTAATATCTGGGAAATTTTTGAAGAAAATAATATCTAGTAGAGATATTTATGTTTTTACTTTGCTTATGCCAATACTTATATTCGGTATGCCAATACTTTCAAACAACAAGCAACAATTTATGATGGAAATTTTGGTATTTTAATGTAGGTAAACAAGAGCCCCACGTGCTCTTTATTGTAAACCATAAATATTCATCAACACTATAAATCTTTCACCATTATCATGTTACTTCATCCCATAATCATCCAACGCCTACTACGACTTGTCCCATTCCCCTCGTTTCCCATTCTGATTCTACAGTCTTACTCTACTCCGTACGGCATAAAATAATGAACATCGGATTTAAAATATTAGACATACCATTACACCAAGAACTAATCAAACTTTATTACCCCGCGGAGACCGACGCGTCGTTATTCGCAATTATAAGGGGTTTATTCCCTGGAAACTTACCTTAAAACACGCCGGATGCCACACGGCGTCGCCCAACCTGGGGGCGGCGACGCTGATCTGCGTGCCGTGGATGGGCTTAGAGCAGTCTGCGCACATGCTGTTCGGAGGTGTGGCCTTGGCGATGCCAACGTCCAGGGCCACCTGGTTGCGGCCCGATATGAAGTCCTGAAAGGAAAAATGATAAATGAATGAATGTTATCCTGTGGTATAATAACACCGCGAACAATTCCCGTGATAAATTATGACGTGGTGGTCATTAGCGTCTATACCCGTGACGTCACTTCAGTGGTGGCAGATGTCATTGGTTGAGTAATAATATGAAACAGTATATATTTACCGAGATATCTATTTTATAAAAATATCTTTTCTGGAAATGAATTCCTATTTTAGTTAATATATTCCTTCTTTTGCCGTAATATACATGGTGTTCCTAAATAAGTGTCGCAACGGAACACTGATATTCCTCTTGTAAAAAGAAACATTCTTTTCCTCTTCCATTTTTCTCTCCAGGCTTTCGTTTTCGAGATACCCTGTGTCAAAATTTTCATTTTTTTTTTAATTTTTTTGCCAATATCTTAGGAACCGTTTGAACTTCAGGACTGAGTTTTTGTACACGCATTACCACTATTTATAGCTACTTTTTTGCACCCTTCGAATTCGTTGAAAGTGCCAGTGCTGGAGATTTTAAGGTATCGTAAGGGTTTCCCCCCCCCTAACTTTTACGCCACTGGAAAAATTGACATTTGAGAGCAAAATCTAAAGCGCCAATGAATTTTACACAAAAAGAGTTCTCTTGGTTCATTGCTCTAAAGTCAACCGTTTTCAAGAAAAATGACATTTTATGAACAAAAAACAAACATTTTGCTAGCGTTTCGAAAATATTTTGTGATTCGAAAGATAGATAGTAATAATTAACAAGTTTAACGAAATTCAACAACATTTGCCACAAGTAGCTATTAATAGTGGTAATGTGTGTACAAAAGCTCAGTCCTGTAGTTCAAACGTTTCCTAAGATATTGGCAAAAATCTGAAAAAAAGTTTTGACACCGTGTATCTTGAAAACGAAAGCCCGGAGAGAAAAATGGAAGAGGAAAATAATGTTTCTCTTTTCAAGAGAAATATACAGTTTTCCGTTGCGACACTTATTTAGGAACACCCTGTATAATTTTAGACAGGCGTGATCGAGAATAGAGTGTAAAAAATTAGGGGATGATACAACATAAAAAATAATTTCTTCCTATAGACAATGGGATATCGTCATTTACTTTGATGGTACAGAGCGCCAAAGAGGATTTTTTGTTAATTAAATTTTAGCCATGTTTTTGCCATAAAGTGTATTGAAATTTGAGATCGTAAGTATTTAAAGATGTTAAATGCGCTCCTTTTGTTGGTTTTTGATCTCGCTTAAGGTCTCTAGCTACTACCTCACCTAGTAACATATTATGAGCGTTTTACATTCATGTTAGGTATACTATAAAATTCGAGATAAAATTTCATTTTACACAAAGAAGTACTGAAAACGCATGGTTTTTAAGAAAAACCACGATTGTCCTAAAGCCAGTCAACTTCTGTTCCTTAACATACAAGATGTCCGCAAACGAATGGGTCGTACTTCAAGAATAGCTTCCTTGGATAAAAATAAACCGATTTAGATCAAGTTACCATAGTAAGATTTTGCTCCCTTAAAATGTTAAGGGCCTTAAAAAAATCTTATTTAATTTCAGAACTAAAAATGATTAAATGAATTGTCTAAATATAACACAGCTCCACAAAAAAAAAATCGAGAAATTTACCCCTGGAGTCTGACTATGTTTATCATATGTTTTCGGGGTCGCTGAATCCAAATTCTGGGTCCATTTAACCCCGTCACGTCAGAATTTTTCATAACCTCAAAAAATAGGCCCAAAACGCAATAAATCCTCTATCCATTGAGCACTCAACCCCAATAACCCCAGAACCCCTTATCTCCTTAAACCCCCGTAACCTCAAATTCTTGAGCTTTAAACCTATACCAACGAATATAGATCTCTTATAGAAGAACGATCAGGGTTGGAAATCGTCGACGAAATCTTGGTGGACGTGTACAGTATGTTATAGATTTCTAACCCAACCTATGAGCGTTCTTCTATAAGAGGTCTATATTCGTTGTCTATACTCTTTAATAGCCTATAACCCCATAACCTCATAACCCAAATCAACTCTTATGAGTCAAATCTTCGGACATCATTGGTGTATTACTTATACTTATAGTAATACTAGGTTATGAGGTTATGGGGTATTAAAGGGATTAAGGGGTTATGGGGTTATTGGGATTAAGTGGTCAATTTATTGCGTTTCTGGGCCTATTTTTTGAGGTTATGAAAAATATTGGAGTGATGGGGTTTAAATGAACCCCGAATTTGGATTTTGCGAGCCCGAAAACAATAACAGACATAGTCAGACTCCAGGGGTAATTTTCTCGATTATTTTTGTGGAGCATTGCAAAAATACATACCTGATATATTAAAATTATTGATTAGTGATTAGTGAGTGACTACAATTAGTGATTAGCGTTTGTCAAGGGTGATAATAGGACAGCAAGAATACAGAATATTTCTTTTCTTATTTAACAATTTCAATATATTAGTTTATGTGTTTTTGTATTAATTATATTTAGACATTTCACTTTTAGTTTTTATTTTGGACAATTATTTGTTACTACGTAGATATTGTCGTCTGATAATTCAATGCTAGTTAGGGCATGTAGCTCATGGAGTAGTTGATTCCCGCTGTATCAGCAGTTAGGAGTCTGTGGGGTTGGATATCTTTTGCATACCATTTCTGACATCGAAGAGCATTGACTTCCTTTGATGAGATTTAAAAAAAAATTAATTTTGTTGGAATTATCTAAATCGCTTCAAAATAGAGTAAAAAAATGTGAAAGCCAATAAATAATATATATTTTAATTGATTTAAATGCGGGCTCCGGCTTCATTTGTATGTACGTTTAGAGACTGATTAAACCACTGGTAGTGACGTCAGTAGGTGATGATACATCAGATGGGAAGCTCTGCATTGCTACTTTAGATATTAGAGAGCACATAAGATACCTACATCATTCGTATGGATATGGAGAACGAAAAATTGGCATTTTATTTACCTGATAACTACTAGCGTATTCGGGTTCGACGAATTTGCAGGCGCTTAGTGACAGATCTTGCTTGGGGAGTTGTCTGACTATCCGTTGGGAGCGAAGCATCTCTCCTTTGGAGCCGAGTTTTGGAACTTCTTCAGAAGGCAGTGTGGAATAATATTGGTCAACCTGGAAATAAAGACAGATAGAAGTAATAATATTAAATTAAAAGAAATATATTACATATGCAGAAGGATGTATAAAATGTTTCTTAACTAAATACTTTTTAATTACAGTATAAAAAGATTTTCTTTGTTCATACATTTCGATAACTGCATAAATAATAATATACTATTTAAATAGAATTATTCTAAGGGACCAACTTTTTAATTTATGGTATCTCGTTTTATATGGGCATTTTCTTATAAACATTCTGTCCAGCATATATGTTTGTGTTTGTTTTGAAACTAAAAACGAGAATTTGAACATGGAATTGACTAGATCAAAACTATAGAAGCGTGCTTTTCAAAATCATATAAATTACTGAACCTCACAATATTTCTGATTATTTGTAACAGTTTGATGACTATTTATGAAAATACTATCAACATGTACAGATAAAACAATAATTCAGACTTCCAGTCATACGAATCATTCTATATTCACCTGCAGTCTATTAATTGTTTTATTTATGGATAATAAAACAGAAATCAATAAAATTTATAGCTAAAACCTACACAATACGGCTTCTGGGTATAGTTAGAAACATGAATGAAATAAAATTTGTATCGATGTATTTATTTTACAATTTTCTTGAGTTCACTACTTTGTATCCAAAGTAATTAATTATACTTGCAGATGTTTTTTAAAAATATGTTACTCAAGAAATATAACGACAAAAATAGACACAATTATGGTAAAATAAACAATGCTTCCCCCGATAACTTAGAAGATTACTTAGATGTCCTTCTTAGTCCAGACGGTAACTGTTTCAAAAAGCCATATTTGGGTGAATCGTATATCCACGGAGATTTTTCGCTTTTTGGCTTTCAAATATCACTAGTAATGAAAATTTTTCTATGCGCATAAAATAAAACGTGGGCTTAACTTTTGGCAGTACAGTATGTTAAAAAAATTCTTCCTATTTAATTATGTATATTTTAAAGAGTTTATTTTAGGCGAAAATGGAAGAGGAAAAAAATGTTTGTAATTAAATTTTTTACAAACCATGACTAGTTACAAATCGAATGAATCATGATTATTACAGTAAAAATCGAAATAATCGCAAAAATGGGGTTAAAAAACAATACTTTTTAGGGAATTTTTTTGGGGTATTTAAATTGGGTATAGGACCTTTATACTTGGCTCAAAAAAACTTCATGTTATGTAGAATCATCACACCAAATTTCATCAAAATCGGTTGTATAGATTTTGCATAATAATTTTGCAATCCAGATTTTGAAAAAAAAAATTGCATTTTTTCAAATTTTTGCGCAGCAAAAACCAAGGCCATTAGATACTTGAAAATTTAACCACATATGTATAGAAGAGCTCTCAAGCTTTCAAACTTTTTTTTTAAAAATTCGAATCCGTCAATTAGGAGAGCTCTGGCGCTTGATTAAACATTGGTCGAATTTTTGTACTTATTAAGCAGAGAGCGCGGCCGCTTCGGCCTGCTCGAAATTGAATCGGCGAGTTCAAAACCGCGATGCGCTTAAAATTTTTTTAATATCTCACATTTTTAAGAGTAAATTGAAAAAAATTATAAAATTCATTAATTTTTCTGCTTGTTATAATTTTTTTAATTTCTGAAATCATCCCTTAACTTCTAGTCTCCCTAACTCTGTTAATTTCAATAGACCATTTTGTTGTAGAATTTTATGCTCTATAATTTTTATATCAATTTTTTTTTCAAGCTCTTACCCCTTTTGAGTTATATTGAAAAACTCCTTTATTTTATCTTTTTTCACCCCTTTCCGGGGGTCGAAAAAGAAAATTACTGTCACTTATTGTTATTATGTACATACCTCAAACAAACTTATATCAGAAATTCAGGCAAGTTGACAATAATTGCGATTTAAAGGCACATTTAATAATTGGACTATAAATTTTAAGCTATTCAAGAAAAATTGAAGCATGGCATTTTCTATTTTCTTGGCCAGCATGAAATATAATTAAACAGTGATTTTTACAATATTGAGAATTGTTACAGATCGTTTTCGATTCGTCGTTTCTCATTTGTGTAGCTCAACCAATTTCATATGATCGATAACATGCATAACGTGAAGGATGGGAACACAAGTAACTATAACCGGAGGAGAAAGCAAGGATTGATAAAACCCATGATATATCATCTTCTACCTTTATATGCTTTAAAACACAATAATTTACATAAAGTAGAATTCATTAATTAATTATTTTAGTATTTATTACTTCTCTGTTTATTTATCCACAAAAATTCTTATTTCAATCCACTAAATGAAAAAATTTGTCAATTCAAAAATAAGTAATTTGAAGGATCCATTTTTAAAATGTAGATACTTGTACAATTTCCTGTTGTTTCGGAACAAAAATTTCTAGATTCGAAACCAGTGCATTACCCTCAATAACGACTTGAAATTACATCTTTACTCGAGTCGACGGAGTCGATGCCACACGAGAATGCCACAAATGTTAATTACGGGAATTAAAAAACAAACAAACACTAATTATCTTCTTCCCGCACAACAAACGACCGTCATTTATCATGCAGTCAACAATTCTCGGTATGCTGACACTTCAACCGAAGTCTGCGGTAGCGGACGCCTAGAAAATCATTCAATGTCAAGGCAGGGTAAAAGAGATAATCAAGTATGTTTTAAAATGTTACGTTTTAGGAATAAAAAACAATAAGGTTTTACTGAAGCCGCAATTTGTTTATAATAAATAAATTGATCTTTCGAAAAAGGCACATGAGGAATAATTTTGAGAACCCATTATAACAATATTCTCATTGACAGTTGATACTGTTTGTAGTAATTTCCGGTTCCGAGAAAGAATATATCTAGTCCAGTATTTGTCTGAATTTATCTCAATATTTCTCAAAATAATTATTATTTACATTGTATAGATTTAGTACTGCGGCTGATTAATTTTGATAAACTCGATTTTTTTTCTGTAGACGTTTATCTTTCTTAAACAATGTATAAGAAATTGTGTAATAAAGTTACGAGGACAGTAAACTTTTAATAACCTTTTAATAAAATTGATTTAATTCGTTTGAAAACATATAATTTTTAAACCGAAAAGGCAATTTTTGTGTAAATGGTAACGTTCTAGTCAAAAAATTAAAAAAAAAATATCAAGCAAAGATCTTTCTTAGGGCAAAAATGGATTATCTGATCTGTAAAATATGTTTTAGGCAAAACTTTAATGGATGAATCTACATTAGAATCCTTCAAAAAAGTTATTGTAAACATGTGTCCGAATATCCTCCTTTTTCGAGATACAGTGTTGTAAAGTTTGAGAAAAAAATTTGGTTAAAAAAACGACTGAGATGATTTCATTCAGATTTGGCATGTGGATTGTATATTTTATTATTCACAAATATATAGGTAAGCATGACATATGTTTGTTATTTACAGGGACGTAGACAAAAAGGGGTGGACATTGTAATTCAAATTTAACCATTATGACAGAGTAATACAGGCTTTCCAAAAATGTTTTCTCACTATATGTTACGAGAATGCACAGTTTTCAAGATAAATCATAAAATGATACATGTAATACTAATAGTGCAGACATTAAATTATTTTTTAATAAAAGTAGCCACGTGACTAAAATTAAGTATAGTCACCGTGATTGTCCTCAATTGTTTTTAAAACTTCACAAATTCTTCACAAATTTTCAATAATGTTGAACACCTTGTCGCAAACAAAGAATTTCTGAGCATATGCTTATTGGAACGAAACATTTCCTATGTAATAAAAAAATGTTTTCAGGAATTTCAACTCGAACATTCTATTACATGACTTATATTTTTGGTTTAATGGAAACTAAACAAACTCTGGCCTGTGCAATTCGGAATACCCTGAATATTTAATAACACTATTATTTTATCGAACTATAAAAAACTTTTGGATGATTAAGTACTTGTATGTGTTGAACACGTATTGCAGAAAATTAATTCTACCTGTATCCCTTTTAATTTTTTATCATTCCAAATACCTGCAGAGTAAAATGTACAGGGCTCTTTTTAAGTCGACGTAAGGAGGTTGTTCTTTAGATCATTTTGGACGAAACAGTCTTAATATACTAATAATCTAAAGCCACTTATTTTCGAGGTACACTGTCTTGAAGTTTAGAGGAAGTGTATTTATTCAAATATCAAAACTTGGGAGCTATCAATTTATTTAATTAAAGACGAAAGCTGTTGAATTGGCATGTAATTATCCCAATCAGTAGCGGAGATACCGGTAGGCATGCTCACTAATAACCCCAGAATTTCAATTGTAAAAAAAATAATCATTCAAAAATGGCTCTTTCTTCTCAAAAATAACAGCTGTTTCTCACCAACCTGTAATTATTACAATAACTCTACTGGGAGTAAATCACATTTAGAATTAAATACATTTACCCAATATAAAAAAAAACTCATTAGCATCGAAATTCTGAAACACCAAATGACAATGCTCTCAGTATCTACGCCACAGATTGAGAAATTTGTTGCAAGAATTTCGTCAAGGATCTTCAGAGATATTTATGATGTATTTTATAAAATTTCAACGTCCTGTATATAGTAAACAAGGGCCTTAGATCCTTGGTTGATTAAGGAACAACCACCTGAAGATACGATCCAAACATTAAAAACCCTTCTGTTTAAAAAATTTCGTCTTAGGGTGGTAAAATATCGGAAGCCGGCCCTGGCGACTTACCTGACGAGCAGAGGTCAGGCCGGGAGGCACGAAAGTATATCCTAACGACCTGGCGTCCAGGCCGTCGTGGTACGCCACGAAGCCGAGCCTAGAACGGGCACCATGCTCCGCCACCACCTCGTGACCGTCTCGGGGGCACTTGCAGTTTTTGCACGTCTTTCTGAAAACCAAAAAAATAATTAAGTTAGCACGAGCGCACATACTTCTTGACAGAATTAAAGATGAATCAATATTTATAAATTGAAATTAAATCTTCTGTTGACTATCAAAGAGAAATATTAAAATGCCATTAGATTTGACGAAGTCTAAACGGCGGTATGATGTATATGTGGGCGTTTTTTGATTCGTGAACGTGCGTCATGAAATGATTGATGTTTTATTTAAATAGAGAAGATAAAAGGGACGTGCATC